ATTGTATTATCGAAAATGCCCAACCATTTGATTTTTATTTTTTTAGAAACCATTTGAATTCAAGAAACGATAAATTAATAATTAATAAATAAAGAGATGGACATCTCTTGTCGCAAATTTGGTATAAGAGGGGAATTTTTGAGAAATCAACTATAGACCGTCAGATAGTGACAGATTTAGGTGCCCCATTTTTGCATACAAGCCTCGAAGAGGGTTGAAAAGTACTTCGATGTTGAGTAGAATGAAGTGAAATTCACGAGTCGCCCCTGGGGATAAAATATGGAAAATTCGATTTTCCTTAACCGAAATAATAGGTGTCTGTTGCTCCTATTTCCATGCAAGCCGTGTTTACTAAATGATTAATTATTAAAAACCTAGCTTCGGAAAACCAAAGGCTTGAGTGCTGCAGGTGGCTGAAGGGTTGAAAAAAGGGCTTTATCTTGTAAGAAAAAATCGAAATTTCGACCGATTTTTGCACAGAAGCCTATCGGCAGTAGAAAACATTCATCGTCACTACTCCGAAAAACATATTGGCTTGAGTGGCGGGAAGGGATAAGTACATTTTAAGGTCGGAAAATTTGACCGATATTACGCGAACTAAAAAAAAGCGGTCAAATTTTTCGACCTTATTGTACTTATCCATTCCCACTACTCAAGCCAATATCCCAATATGTTTTTCGAGGTAGTGACGGTGGACGTTTTCATAATTCCAATAGGCTTGTGTGCAAAAATCGGTCCAACTTTCGATTTTTTCTTACAAGATAAAGCCCTTTTTTCAACCCTTTAGCCACCTGCAGCACTCAAGCCTTTGATTATCCGAAGCTAGGTTTTTAATAAATAATCATTTAGTGAACACGGCTTGCATGGAAATATGAGCAACGGACACCTATTATTTCGGTTAAGGAAAATCGAATTTTCCATATTTTATCCCCAGGGGCGACTCGTGAATTTCACTTCATTTTACTCAATATCGAAGTATTTTTTAACCCTCTTCGAGGCTTGTATGCGAAAATGGGGCACCTAAATCTGTCACTATCTGACGGTCTACTAGTATAGATGTAGAACAATAGTAGGTACATAGTCTATGTACATAATAATGATTATTTCATTCATTATAAAATAGACCCATCAGACAACGTCATTTTTTGAATTAATTTTGTTTAAATAAGTGATTATTTCACAAGACCTTGTTTATCAGCGATTAAATTTTTGTTTACCTTTTTTGACAGCATTTTGATAGAAATATTCTGACATTTTATAATAAATAGAACTCTTTGGATAGGATTGACGCCAACAATTCAATCCTAATTATTCAAGAAATAATCTAGCCGTATACCACTCGACCTATAAATTTAAATGGATTAAACTATCCAAATATTTTTTGTATAATTTTGCTTTTTGGCAAATAGTTTCATGCACAATAACTTTTAAATAAAAATTAAGTTATTGTGCATTCAACTATTTTCCAAGCAAAATCATGCTCAAAATATGTTGGATAGTTTAATCGATTAAATTTAAAGCTCTTGTGATATAATATATGATTAAAACTTTCGAATACACGGTTTGATCCTAAATACAAATGACTTGTTTCCTAAGGTAAATTGGCAATACCACTTTAATAAAAGTGGTCATTAGTAGGATAAACGTAGCTGCATAACATACGTGGAGGTGCAACAAATTGGCAACAAGCTGATTTCAGCGGAAATGTTTAGTAACTGACCTCCTATTTAACCTCCCAAAAGTCCCAATCAGTCCTAGGGGTGGAAGGTTGAAAAAAATGGCCGCCATCTTGGATTTTTTGTTTTTTCCAAATATCTCAGTTTCTATTAGTTTTTCCGAGAAAACTCAAGAAACCTTTTTTGTTGAGAATTTAATTCTCTATAAAAAGTGTCTCTGCGTTTTTTTTTAATATGAAGGATAACGGAGATATAGTTTTTTTTTAGAATCTGATTTATAAATTTTTCACTTTTAGCGCCTTTTTTGATAAATAGTGAAGTAAGTGCAGCTATTTAACAAATCATCCCATTATTAATGATTAAATTATATCCTAAACTCGATTTCGTGACAACCAAAAATGCCCATGACACACAACCGCGTATTTTACCGCGCATTCACCTACAGGATAAATATGGATCAGGTGGAATCACCGCCACGCGACAAGTGGCGTTTCCAAACGGCCAGCGGGTGAATTATAACACATTGTTTTCTGATTTTCGTGCAATCAGAGCAGTTGATTCTTGTTAGTATGTTGCATATAATTAATTTTAATTGAATATTCTTTTAATGCGTAACAGGCTGGATTTACTAAGGTATTAGACGTTGTGAGACAGTGGGTCGATTCCGAACTGTAAAGTGTATATTATATTATAGTAAAAGCGGACATGACTTCGTTAAAAAACAATATGCTATGTGGTATTTGTGAGAAAGACAATAATGAAAAGATAGTGCAGGTGACTTTGAAAGGATTGCCCAGTTTAGTGAAAGCAAGTAAAATTCGCGGGGATGGTAAGTGGGAAGATTTTAGTGAAAATTTGCCGGTCGTACATGCAGCATGTAGACGGAAATACACGCATCCAACCGAACTTTCCCAGTTTAGTAGAGAAGTTCCTGGTCGTGTTGAAGTGTCACAACCGCCAAAAATAAAAAGTACACTGCGATCAAAAACTGAGAATGTTTTTAATTTCAAGACATATTGTTTTTTTTGTGCCGAGAACATTGATATAAACCTTCTGAAGCAAAAAAACAAAATTCAAACAATCCGCTCAGTTGCTACACTACATATTAAAGACACAATTCTTGAATGCTGCAAGGAAAGAAATGATGAGTGGAGTAGAGAGGTGCATAGAAGAATATGCAATGAAGGGGATCTTGTAGCAGCTGAGGCAAAATATCATGTCAATTGTTACAGCCTTTTTCTAAAGGGAAAAAGCCTTGGAAAAAGCAACACACAAGCAGGAAGACCTATAAATGATATTTTTGAGAACGCTTTCACGATGTTATGTCAATATCTTGAAAATGACACTGAAAATTGCCAATTTTCCCTGAAAGAATTACTTGATAAAATGAAGACTTATTTACCTCCCGACACTGAGCCATGGTCAGTTTATTTTTTCAAAAATAGATTGAAAAAAAAATATCATGAGAAAATATTAGCTACGGACATTCCTGGAAAACCTTCAGTGATATGTTTAAAGAATAATTGTGAAAAACTTGTTTCCGATGAGTGGTTAAAACAAAGGGATAGTAGAAACAATACACCTGAAGAAGAATGTGTTTCCATTCTAAAGGCAGCCGCCCAAATATTAAAAGAGGACATTAGGGGAATGGTTACTAATTTGGATGAGTATCCTTCTTGCGATGATATCAAAACAGGTGGAAATTCATTTTTTCCTAATTCACTTGACGTTTTCTTTGAGGAGTTGGTCCTAAAAGGCAGGAAAAGCCCACTATATCAGACTAAAGTGTCTGCAATGAAAAACTTTATTATCTCTTTGGTACGTGTTAAATCCTTCCTTTCACCAGTGATGTTTGGTCTGGGAATTCAACTGCACCGCAAATATGCCTCAAGATATTTGATTGATACACTTGCAGCTCTTGGTGTTTCCGTGTCATATTCGGAATGTTTGGCATTTGAAAACTCAGCGATCATTAATCATAAAGACTCTATATTTGACGAAAGTTTTGTACAGTTTGTATATGATAACGCAGACTTTAACATTCGTACCATGGATGGACATGGGACATTCCATTCTATGGGAGGAATAATGTGTTGTTCGCCTTCTACCGGCTCTAATATTCAAAGTATTCCTAGGCCAAAAAATCGGGTTCTTGCGTCAAATGTTGGAGAATTTGGGAGTCTACGTTTACAGGTAAGATCTTAAAAAATATTTAAATTATACAAGGTAAAACTTTGTTAAATCATCAATCTTTTTCTTTGCAGTTCTACAAAACACCTGCCAAAAGCGGACTTGGTCGTATTAAAATGGAATCCATTCAAGAGGAACCAAATGCTGAAAATGAACGTTTACCGGTACTTCTAGACACTCTGTGGCTAACTGGTAAGGTTTTGTCTTTTTCCTCAATTTCCTGGACTGGTTTTATGTCTACTCTTGAGTCTGACTCCTTGAACGTGGATACAAGTATTATACCGTCACCCTTTATCAACTTGGATCCTGGCAACTTGAACACAATTTATACAGCTCTTTCATTTGCGGCCGAAAAAAGCAAACGGTATGAAAAATCTTGTATCGTAACGTTTGACCAACCACTTTTTCAAAAAGCTGTAAATAGATATCGTAGAAGGCTCAAATAAAAGTGATATTGTGTCTTCTGTGATTGTCAGGCTCGGAGGTTTCCACACTCTGATGTCTTTTATGGGAAGCGTTGGAAAAATCATGGCCAGAAGTGGCATAGAAGAATTGTTGACAACCGTATATGCAAAAAATACTGTACCCCATATGATGAGTGGCCATGCTTATTCTAGAGCTTTACGAGGACATTTTCTAATACATGAAGCTTTAATTTTAATTATGTTGGATGACCCAGAAATTCTCTCATTATCCGAGGAAGACATTCAAAATATTCATAGTTTGTATAATGATACCAAACTCAATGTTATCAAAGAAAATGGATTACTTATTGAAGTTCAAGAAAAAGTCTATGGACGAATTGATGATTTAGCTAACACTAGCAGAACTGGAAAGTTGTGGGCAAATTACTGGAATTTGATCAATTTAATAAAACTTTTTGTTCAAGCTGAAAGAATGGGAATTTGGTGGCTTCATATTCACTGCATTAAACGGATGATTCCTATATTTTATGCTACTGGACATAATAACTACGCCAAGTGTGCACATCTTTATTTGCTACAAATGAAAAAATTGAAATCTATCAATGAAGAAGAATATTGTCGTTTCGTAAATCAGGGATTATTCACCATTCGCCGAAGAAGTAAATTTTGGTCAGGAACATGAAGCGACATGGTAATTGAACAGAGCCTCATGAGAGCAATGAAAACTCAAAGAGGCCTGACTCAAGGCCGTGGATTTTCTTATGCCTCTTTGGCCAGATGGATATCAAGTATGTCATCGTGTATCCCTATTGGTATATCTTTAGAAGAGTTTGTTCAAGTAAAGTCAATATCTTCAGATCAACATATTGAATTAACAAATGCCCGACAACGCCGAAATGAAAGTGATTTAAAAAAAATTCTAGAGTGGCTACAAGATCACAACCCCTTCAAATGTTCAGAGCTTTTGTCTATTTCAACAGGAATTATTGCTTCTCCTGATGTAAATTGTGATAAAGCTCAGGAAATCGGAGAAGTCATTTTCAATAGTCACATTGAGAAACATTTTACTGATATTCAGTGTAAAAGAAAGGACAATATCAAAAATTTGGCTTCTATGAATAGTAGCATCAAGCTACATAATACATATATAGACTTCAACCCGATGCAACTTTTCAACAGAATAATTTGTTCAAATAAAACACCAGAAGAAATAAAACATTGCTTCAAATATGAGTTGTCGCCATATCCTTTATCACTTTTTAAAGATGGTAATCTAAGAAAAGGAACAAAATCTCAACTTCTTCAGGAGCTTGATAAGATCTATAAGCCAGAAAGTATGCCCCATTCAGACACTGTTTATGTTATAGATGGAGGATTTCTGCTACACAAAGTCTCATGGCAAAAATCAGCCTCATATAATGACATCTTCCTTCAATATGTAAATTATGTTATTCACAACTATAACAAGGATTGTGTCATAGTCTTCGACGGCTACACGAAAGAGGTTATATCAACCAAAGAAAGTTTACAACGATGCAGATCAAAGGGAAGCATAGAAATTTCCATCCATGCCCAAGCTTCGGTAATTATACCACAAGTGGATTTTTTGAAGAACAGTCAAAATAAGACACAGTTTATAAATATCCTTCGAACCTACTTTGAAGACGCAGGTATAACTGTGCATCAAGCACCCAGGGATGCTGATTATCTTATTACAATGACAGCAGTAGAACTATCCATGATAAAAAAACATGTCACAGTTGTCTCAGAGGACACCGATATAATGGTTTTGCTTATACATCATGCAAAAAATAAAAATATATCCATGCTTCGCCCAGGGAAAGCAGCAAAAGGTAACAAAGTATCAACGATATCTGGCATACAAGATAAACTTGGACATCTGAAAAAACACATATTGTTTTTGCATGCCATATCATAGATAGCATCAAAATTGACGTATTTTTGAATAGTAATGCAAGCAGAAATGATTTTCTTGAGTCGGGATTAAATTTTATTTTGAGGCTGTATCGCTGCCCAAAACATATCAAAGATATTAATTTGTTGAGGTATACTTTCCTTGCGTTCGATATTTTGCTCAAAGTGTAGAGCGAGCTGAGCGGAGCCGTAATCACGTGACCAGCGAGCGAACGGAGCAGTTGAACGCCGTATAAAAGTACCGGAAATTTTAATAAACGAACGCGAATGAGGCTGCACCGAGTACACTTTTTAAATAAACGAACGGTAAAGTCAAGCTCGGAGAACTCAGACCAAAATAACGAACGCACGGTTTATACAATAGGACAGCATCAAGGCAAGGACTCAAGTCCACATTTAATTTGGCTACTTTGCCCCCAACCGCAGACTCTGCAGAACAACATGTTCTCAGGACATACTTTCAGGTATCACCCGTGAACTATAAAAATAACAAGTTTTAGAAAATATGTTCTATTTTTCAGATTCAAGAATGGATTGGCAACAACTTGGACCCTCTGCAATACGGGTGGAAGAAAAATAAGCAAGGTAACCTGATACCTGTACAATGTAAGGAAGCTGTAGTTCCCCCTGATCTATTGAAACTGATTTTTTGCAATTGCAAAGAAAGTAACTGCTCCAAAAACTGTTCATGCAGAAAACTTGGACTTAAGTGTTCTTCCAAGTGTGGGCAATGTTACGGAATCAGTTGTTCGAACTGTTGTTTCGTGGTAGATGAGGAGGAGGATGACGGTCTGGATGACGTCACACAGGAACTTTTTGAAGTTTAATTTGAGATTATTGAATACATAATATGTACACTATTATTATAAGCTTCATTATTTTTGTATTATACGATTGTTCATTTATGAAAAATTGATATTTAATTCGAATGGGATAAAAGTAAAGAAATGTTTGAAATATTCACCATAAAAAGCTCTGTATCTCCCTTATCCTTCATGTTATAAAAAAAACGTACAGACACTTTTTATAGAGAATTAAATTCTCCACAAAAAAGGTTTCTTGAGTTTTTCGAAAAAAACTAATAGAAACTGAGACATTTGAAAAAAACAAAAAAATCCAAGATGGCGGCCATTTTTTTCAACCTTCCACCCCTAGGACTGAATGGGACTTTTGGGAGGTTAAATAGGAGGTCATTTACTAAACATTCCCGCTGGAATCAGCTTGTTGCTAATTTGTTGCACCCTGACCCCCCAGATTGACTCAGCTACATTCCAAAATATTAATAATGCTTCCTAATGCTGGGTATGGTGCATTTTATTATGTCTACAAAATTTAGTTTTATTCTTATTTTGGATAGTTTTCAAAATGCTTCAAAATAAAAAGCCATTCAATTTTGAGTTTTTTTTTAAGTCTATTTTGGATAGAAGAAGAAATGGAAAATATAGAAAATGTTTTGATGATTACATTCATTTTGAATATTTTCTTTTGATAATAGACCTTTTCAAAGTAGAATAATTCTGTTGCGCATGCGCAAAACATTGTTGCCAAGTGTCGGTTTCTATCACGCATATATACATGAAAGAATCATGAATTATTTCGATTTCATTAGAACTGAGATTCAAATTCTTTATTATTAATTAACCTTATATTTGATGCAGTCAAAGACTCAAGCTATTTATTGATGGTCATTTTGTAAAGTTTTTTTTTTTTAAACTTAACGCGCTTCAATTTGTACAAACCGGCAACATCGCACAATTTCACTGTCATTTCTTCGATCAGCTGATTATTGTTTTGCGGTCCATGTTACAGGTTTATGCATGGGAAAATATTGGAAAAAGCTATTTAAAAATTAGTAAAAGCGACGGGGCACACAAATATTGTGTTTTTGGAAAGTGTAATAGTGACAGCAGAGTTGGAAGACTCGGATATTCCGAGGGATTAATTTTTTACCGCTTTCCCTGGCCATGTATTCAACGTAAATTCCTTTTAAGTTCCAATACGCTGTTTTTCTCTACAATACCATTACGAAAAATTGCATCCGACACATCTGCTGCTGATAATTTAACGTTTTTAAAAGACATTTGGGCCATTTTAAATTGGAAAAGGTATTAATTACAACTTTTTTTATAATACTTGCTATGCTTTTTGGACCGCAAAACAAACAGCCAACATAACCCCACTTATTTGACGCGCAAGCGCGTTGTGGACCTTGAAAAGGTCTATTCAATGGAAACAGCCAAAGGGAAGCTTTTATGTTGGGTCTCAAAAATCTCAAATCTTAAACCCCAAAGCAAAGTCTCCCAAAGACACTCTTTAAAATGTTAAAAATCCCCAGTTTTCACTGTTTTTCAAATCCTTATAGTGACTTGAGTTTGAGTTTTGATTTTCAAATCTTTGAAAATGAGCCCTCAAGTTTTTAGAGTCGCGTATTTCAAAATCTTTGCGCTCTTTAGAGTTCAAATTAAGAGCCTTTGAAATTTTTAAATATTTTTGGCTTCTCAATAAAATATTCAAAAGCCTTTGGTCTTAAATCGATTTTTCGAGATTCTCAAAATTTTTGAAAGCTGTAAATCAACAGGAAGTCTTGAATCTAGAATCATCTAATCAGCAGCGAGTCAAAAATTGAGCCAGAAAAGTGTAAAACATATTGATTTTTGACTTTTTATGAGCTCGAAAAACTCAAATTTGAACCTCGCAGAACTAAGATTCAATTGGAAAATTTTGAAAATCTCATCCCCGACTTTACTAAAGGTGAAATTTGAACTTAAAAAGCATAAAAATTCTATTCCCGGCAATCCTAATATCAAAAATTGAGCTAGAGAAATGCCAAACAACAATACATTTGTTGTTCTTAAGTGTTTGAGAATATTTTACGTAGGTACTATGTATCTGTAAATTTTAAATTGGTTTGTTTCAGAGTGTTCTGAAAATGAAAATGTTAATTTGGATTTAGACTTAAGTATTCAAATCTTTCCAAAACTGTTGCTAAAAGTTCAAAAGTGTTCTGGTCTGGTCTAGAATGTTCTTGAAAATTCCAAATTTGTTTTAGAGGGTTCTAGACTGGTACTATTCATTCTTATTCGGTTCCGTCAACATATGCCTACGTTTTCACTGCTGACATTTGTAAAATGTATCAGCAAATTTTAGCAAAGGAGGACTTTAGACCTTTGCATTTAATTTTCTGGAGAGGACACCCAGAAGATGAACTTTTGACATTTTCACTAAACAATGTGACGTATGGGATTGCAAGTGCCCCATTCCTAGCCACTCGCTGTATGAAACAATCTCCAAACTCTCAAAAAGCCCAAGTACTACTTCGAGACTTCTATATCGATGACGACCTATTGGGTAGTGATTCAGTAAGAGATAACATTGCGATATGTGGCCAACTCTCTTCCATACTAAAATCAGCGAATTACGAAAATGGAGATCCAATCCCGAAGAAGTTATAAATAATTTGAAATCGAACATCTCATCATCAGACACTTTTCACTTTTCTTCATTAGAAAATCTAAAAACTCTAGGTTTATCTGGTCATGCAAATATAACTGTTTTTCCTCCACCCAACACAAAAAGGATTACCAAACTTTTGCGTTTGATGCTATCTATGAGAAGGAAATTTTTTTATCCGTTAGGGCTTCTTGGGCCAGTAATTGTAGTGGCAAAAATTTTATTACAATCACTTTAGCTTCTGAAGTTATCATGGGACCAAGACTTACCTGACAATCTTTCTCAGAAATGACGTAATTTCAATTCAATGCTTTTTTGAAACTCAACAACCTACTCTTTCGATGGAACCTCATGTCTTTTCAGACGTCTCACAGAAAGTTTACGGAACTTGTATCTATTTCCGAATAAGCAATTCTAATCAGACCGTCCATGTTCAGTTACTGATTTTAAAAAGTCGTGTAGCACCAGCTAAGTTCCTAACAATAACCAAAATGGAACTAAGTGCAGCACTCCTCTGACAAAAACACTTTCAAAAGTGCTAAGTTCGTTAACCATGAAAATTGACAATTGCTTTATGTGGAGCAATTCCACATTCCACTACTGTTTTCTGGTGGATTCGAACACCCTCGCATACATTGCAAACCTTTGTTGGAAACCGAGTAGTACAAATTCAGTCCTTGACAGATTCATGAAAATTGGCATTATGTACCAAAAGATTTAAAATCCAGCTGATTGTCTTCCTCGGGGTTTATCCTTAAAGCAACTTTTACACTCAAACATTTGGTTTAACAAACCTTCGTAGCTAAAACAAAACAAAGACGTTTGGCCTCTGGATATTTCATGATTAAATCCAAATCCCCCATGACAAACTTCCAGAAACAAGAACACAAAATAAATGTTTCATCCAAATCAATATGCAACATTAGTTGAGATAGCTCAACAAGAGTCTTTCCCTTTAGAGCTTCAAAAACTCGAAAGGTCAGCATATGTTGGCCATAAGAGCAAACTTCAAAGTTTGACAGTTTTGACACCTTCTCTTGAAAATGGAATCATAAGAGTAGGAGGTAAACTGAAAAACTCTAATTATTCCTAAGCACCCAATAGTTCTTCCGGCTAAACATAAATTGACCCACCTCATTTTCAAACTTAATCATGTCGAACTTTTGCATTGTGGGCTTTGACACTTACTGTCACATGTTCGAGAATCTTTCTGGGCAATTTCAGGAAAAAATCCTGCTAAATAGACCGGTGCATAACGACCATTTTTTTGAAACGATTTTCTCCCGTCTGCCATTAAGGGTGGTTATTCTTTATGCAATAAGAAGTGGAATGGCTGAAATTTCAAAGAGCCCCGCGTGTGACAATACAATGATATGCTAATTTGAAAATGTAATGAAAAGTAAAGATTTGGATCAATATTATCCCGTCTGCCACACATTGTGAAGGTAATTTAAACAAAAATGAGTAGAAGGAAGCTGAACGGCGGAAACCCTAGGTTAGTATAAAGTGTCATATTACTAATTTCAAAATGTCGCCAAAATCGGACATGTGGATCAACGACCTCCCGTCTGCCAAATTAAATTTATGTTGCATTAACGATTTAGAGATCAGTGAGGAAATGGCAGAAAATCTCGGTTGTTATAATAATATTTAATAATTTTTGAAGTTGTATCAAAATGCTGAGATGTTGAAACAATTTTCTCCCGCCTAAAACATGTTTTGTTACAATGGATTTTAGATAAATAATGTACCTTTGCATCGGCAGAAAAGTTAAAGTGGTACAGATATTTATTTTTAATTTTTCAAAATGTCAAAAATTTTCAAATTTGAGATCAATTATTTCCCGTCTGCCATTAATTTATATTAAACAAGTTGCTACCAAAAGCCTAAATTTTGACTGGCAGAAATTGCAGGCTGGTACAAGTCCTAATAAACAATGAACAAAATTGCGACAAAAATTGTTCATATGATGAACGTTTTTAACCCGTCTGCCATTTGGTTAAGTGGAATGTAGTTATGAGAATATGCATATTTTCAATATGGCAGAAACCGCAATAAGTTACATAAGTTGCACATATGGTTATTAAATTGCAATTTTCTCCCGTCTGCCAACTTAATTGGGTAGAGTTATTATCAAATAACTGAATACCTATCAAAAAGCAAAATGACTGCTTATGTACAGGGTCTGTTTCTTATAATTAGTGGGGCTCCTACAACTTAAAAGAAAATACAGAAAAAAGTTAAATACAAAAGTTGTAGGGTTTTATCTCTATTATCTTTTGTATATGTCAAAATAGGAAAATGACAGGTGCCAACGGTCATAATGACAGCACTTACATTTTTTTTAAATGGAACACCCTGTATATTTTTAGCTACG